TGTCGTAGGAGAGTAAAAGTTATCACAGGTCAATTTGTGATACGATCACAAGCATCATGCTTTGATACACTCAGCCATCACGTCATCTTACTTTGTGCTACATGTACAGTATGTTCATAGTCTGTTGTATTTATGTCTTGTAAAAGTAATGAAATATCCATTTTATGATCTTCAAATGTTTACTTTTTGAATAATAAACAAATCATTATCAACAACAGCAGTTTTTCATTGAACAAATATAAAACATTTTCCGTGTTGATATACAGTTATATCAACATGAGTGGAAATTGGGAAAACGAGAAATTGTGTGGAAACACGACGCCTGAAGGGCGGAGTGTTTTCACACAATTTCGAGTTTTCCCAACTTCCACGAGTGTTGATATAACTATATATCAATACGGAAAAAATGTTTTATATTTGTTTTATAATATAGCAATGTCAAAAGCCCGAAGAATAAGAACAATTTCTGTGTTACAAGCGGCGGAAAATTTCCCGTGTTGACATGGAGTTATATCAACACGGCTCTTAGCCAATCAGCGTTCAGAATTTACAAATGCTATATTATAAATAAGAATCATAATGCCTATATCAATGTTTTTTGACACTGAGAAATTATTTGTGTGCAAACAATTGTTCTGTGGAGGACAGAGAATGTTGGCATGATTGGCATCATGCCATTGCACAATTATGGCAAAATTATTCAAGTTGTGAACTAATATTTGAGCTGTAAAGCAGGCAGAGCCTGAGCTGAAACACTGGGGTTTGTGCACACAGCACTAGGACATACCTGTGGCTTTATAGGGACCATTGACAAATAGATTTTTCCCGTTTTGCAAAGTTATCCTGTTATTTATACTTTAACTGCCTACATTATTGCAGATCATTTAGGGCCTGTTTATATGATCCCGCCTAGGCAAGTTTCCCATCTAGGCAGGACGTGTTTATATGAAACATATATTGCCAGGATGAAGTCATTCAAGTGCTTGACGTCTTGTTTTTTGCAGAAAAGGTGTTCACGCATGCCCAGGGGAAATGTTCATCCCGCCTAGCCGGGATGAAGTGTTTATATGGGAATTTTTCATCTCGCTTAGGCGGGATCCTGGCATCTGTTGCCAAGATCCTGTCTAAGCGGGCAGTGGCGTGCTGGCAGGGGGGGCGGGGGGCCACGGCCCCCCCAGCTGGCAATTCTTGGGGGGCGCAAAAATGAAAAGGGGGCGCCGTCCCGTGCGGAATTTTAAAAGTGGGTGGGAAAAAACGCATTTGAAAAAATATAGTTACTTCCGTCAAGAAGTATATATTTATATACTGTAGGCTTATAAACAGATCGAGACTAAGCGCATAGATGACAAAGTGATATATTAAATTACAGACTAGTTGGTCTAACCGTATTGGCTAATTTGCTACTTCACAGCTCACACAAAATCGTTGATATAGAAACATGATCGAAACGTGATCACACACAATGTCTCATTACCGGAATATTGGTCAGGTTTCGAAGCAATCACGGGAATTATGCCCTTTTTTGCTGGTATTATGTCCTTATATTATGAAGGTATTATGCTTCACGAATCACGAGAGCGGCGCGAATTAGATAGTTATGATAATGTAAGTTGTGTACGCAATTTAGTTGTTTGTGCAAGAAACATCATGACTCATGAGTAATGTAAGTGATACGATAATGCTGAAACGCTTTTGGCAGTCAAGCAAGGTAACCTTAAAGTGCATATGCGCGGGGTCCGTGTGTTATTGTATAAAAGAGCTGTATGTTGTAAATGTATTCAGATCACGAGATCAGTAGAGAATAGAATTGGGATTAGATTAATCGCTGGAACTGAGTTAGCATTGCCTAATTTAAATACTACTACTAAATTCTAACCAAATTGCAAATTTCAACACGTTATAATGCCGTTTCCTGACCATCAGATTTCTGTCAAACCTTCCCCCCAAAGTCCAGGAAATGGCATTTCAGAGACCTAAATTCAAAAATTTTCCGAGGGGGCATGCCCCCGGACACCCCTAGAGAAACCTCGCACCTGCGGCGCTCGGCTCGTGCCTTCGACACTCGTTTATCAAGCGTTACAATATAGGGGCGCGTATTAGTTGAAAGCCCACTGGCCCCCCCAGAAAATTAATACCCAGCACGCCACTGTAAGCGGGATAAGTGGCGGGATCATATAAACACTCATTAGAATTTGTATTATGAGCGGGATCTCGGTAAGCATCCCTTCCCACCTGGATCATATAAACAGGCCCTTAATGTCTATAGTTTATCCGAAACGTTTTTGTCCCAGTTATTTTATAACAATCCTTTGTCTGCAAAGTGAGATGAAATTTATTTGTCGATAGTCCTTTAATATTATCAAATACACGTCTTCACTGGAGACATTGCGAACTGTTTTACTTTAAAGCTGTAAACAACCTAAATACTGACCTGTTGAAGATTTGAAATACCAAGCAAGAAGCAAATTGAATCAAGAATATTTGACTTGCCACTGCCATTTAAACCAGTTATTGCGTTAAATTGTGGGTCAAATCCGTTCACTTCTGTTCTCTGGGCGTATGATTTAAACCCATCTATTATTACTTGTTTAATATACATTGCTTACAACAAATCAAAGAGAGAATACTTTATTTTTTCATCAAAATTTGGATTGATTTTCACTTCTCATTTACACCCATGGAAAGATTCAATTTGGCGCGCGAATTTTTTTAAATTCTACTTCATGTAAGCCAATTATAAGCGTTTTGACTTTTTGCGCGTGCCTTCCGTAATCATAGAGATTCGTAATGCGCTTGCGTGACGCTTGCGCATGTGCCATCTTGAACGACTTGTAGTGATGGGCGATACCAGCTTTTTTGGGTTCGATACGATACCAATCCGATACCATGAATTTTGGTCGATACCGATACTAAAATCGATACCGATACTCAATTTTTTCCATTTATTAAAATAACTTTTAAAACAAGAACATTAATGTTAACAAGTTAAAGAATACTCTAACTGGAGTACCTACGAAATAATCGAACATAACATTTGCAATTATGATTTTAAATCTAAACAATATCGACGTGTTCAATGTTTTTCTTAAATATATTGCTAATTAGCTACATGTTTTTGTTAAAGAACAGCGTCATGTCAACATTTTTTGCCTTCAGTCTGTTGCCTTCATGAAGTATTAAGCGATTGGTCAGGAATACTGACCAAAAACATTGCAGGCTCAGGTGGTATCGAATTACCGATACTTTTTTCGAGTATCGAAAGTATCGATACTTTTGTAAGTATCGATGATTTCGATACTTTTTCGATAGTATCGCCCATCACTAACGACTTGTTGCTTCCAAAATCCAAATCGAATAAACGATTAATATTGATGTATTGTCCGCTGTTTTTATACAGTTCTTTATACTGGAAGATTAATTGTTTAAATAATCTACACCGAAAAGGGAGTTAGGTATATCACATTGTGTGTAAAGTTTATAAAACGGTCTGCTTAATATCCAGAGACGAGTGCGAAGTAGCCTGCGAACAGGCCTGTTCGCAGGCTAAGTGCAAAGAAATATGTTTAAATTAACGACAACGGACAACCTTTTGATACAACATTGCACTTCACAAAAATATATTGATAATTTGATATATATATGAGCTAGAGGAAAAAAACTCACATTTGCCAAGTTCCAGCTGGCGGTTCAGGTATACAGAAATGAATCGAATCTTCAGAACTGCGCTTAAAATCGCCGTTTTACTGCCAAAATTTTGCATTTCCCTAATCTTTTTCCTGATAAAAAATGTGCATGACACTTGCCAGAGGGTCGCGCATGCGCATTAAAAAAGTGGGGACATGATTTGCCTTGAGTTCCGCCCACTGAGCTATACTATATTACTATAATATAGCTATATATTACTATAGTATAGCTCGCTGCTGGGATCCAATCATCGTTGGTTTAACTGTGATAGAACGAAGTTTGTACCGGCAGTGTGATTCGATAGCTTGTGGAAATGTTTGACTATCAGTTTAGTCACCCAGTGTCCCCTCTGCAGTGTCCCCTTGGCAAAATTATCGGGAATCTGACGTCGTACGGGAGGAATTCCGCAAATCGTAGTCGACTGTCCGACCGAATCAGTCCTTGTTCATCCAGCCGAGGATTTAGTTTCAGCAACGTACTCTTGGGTGGTATTTGTTTGCTGGTCTTCAGGGCTTTGTACTCGTTACTAAACGCGTCTTGTTGTGCACGACAAATGATACTTTCTTCCGCGTTACGTAACTCCTCGGAAAACAGCTCCTGGTCGCCCACCTGTGTCTCCGAATTTCGCGTGTTATGGATAAATCTTCTAACTTTCCCGAGCACTTGTACCAATCGTGTCCAGTTGGAATACCTAGACTACCTCGGGCCGGTTGTATAAAACTCTTAATCACTTTTTTAATCACTATTTTGTAGTTAAATAGTGATGAACTCTCAAATACGGGCTTCTTATTGGATGACGTTTCCACTGATTATAGTTAACTTTAATCACTTTTTTATACAACTGGCCCCAGGCCTTCGCTCGAAACGTCGAAGTTTTCTCTATATATTTTCAGGTAATCTATCACATTCACACCTCGATTCACACAGAAGTTTTATCGAAGATTCTACCTACACCGGCACCAAGCGTTCGAGATAAATTCGCTAATATTGACTGATTGCATAAAAACACGATATGGTTATTATATGTATTTCACTTTATAGAATGTTTTAGCATCTACAGCTGCACCCAAGACGAAATACATTAATCCGTGTTGTCAGCAAATAGTTGGATAGTTTTATCCACCGGCGGGCCCGGCACATAATTTCGTGAACAAAGATGAGACATTCATTTTAAAAACAATACCAATATGTGTGTCTATTTTATAAATTATAGTTGCATATACTGTATATATATTTGATATTTATGATTATACTTTATCAGTTTATATTATTTTGAAATAGAAAAATTAATAGTATTGTCTTGCTAGAAATGTCATATGTCTGATCTTAGCCTTGATCATATTTTAAACCGAAATCCTCACATGTATCCTCCTGCCACACAACTCACAAGTCATGACACACCTAAAGATAGCGGTGGAGATACCTAAAGTTTCTGTCCTCGCGCATATCGCATTACGCATGTTGGTTGGCCCATAGGAAGCCCAAACAAGCGGGTTTTATTCAATAAAATCCGTAATTAAAACGTTTGAGTATGCAATTAGCAATTAGCCGGTCGCGCTGTGATTTGAACTACATAATTAGTGACGTATCCTACCATAGGAAGCCCGCCATTTTTGGGTGGCATTTCATTTTTTGACAAATGATGGTAAATTTGCTTTGTAAATGGTTAGTTTATTTTGAAAAATTGCTTTTCACATTGTTTTAGTTGTCTGCATTGGTTAACGAGAATTGGATGCCACCCAAAAATGGCGGATATTCGTCATCGTGAGAAGGCTAATTTGCCGCGTGTTTCCTCTCTGTACTATCTCTTCTCTGTGTTTGTGATGAAAACCGGAAGTGGAGATCAGTCACTGATCTCATTCATCGTCTGGATGTAGGGAATTGCGAACCTGCAACCTGCAACCTGCAAAATTAACCAGCCGGATGGCGCTTGAATAGCGCGTGGCAGTCGTCACGTGCGGAATTGCCTTCGTAAAAAAACGCTTTGACCGGGTTCTGGGGATTTTACCACAGAACAAGGCACACAGAAGGTCGACTCGAGTAACCGCTGCCACGCCATGATTCATCATCAAAATGCTGACGCCATGGTCCTAGCCAGTACGCGTTTGAGAGGCATTCCCATAGAGATTATAAATAACACTAGAGGAGGCATCGAGGTTAAAAATTGGGAACGCAGCTAATTGCAAATTCAAGTCCCGGATATAAAATCGTGCTCTGATTGGCTGATTTGAAACTCGTCACCAATGGAAACACGAATACACATCCGGGACTTAAATTTGCCCCCCAATAGCCGCGTTCCCTTTTTTTGACTGAATTAAGATTACAATGCCTCCTCTAGTGTTATTTATAATCTCTATGGGCATTTCCCCCCTGGATGTCCGCCATTTTGAATAATATCAGGGGGTGAATGCCTCTCAAACGTGCATTGGATAGGAACTGTGATAATGCTTCCCAAATTCTTTCATCCAGCTCTATACAATTTCGAGATCTTATACAAGACTTCTTTCTGGAACAAGTTAACCCGTTTCCAACTAGATCAAAGAACGTCCTTGATCTTATCCTCACTAACATTCCTGAATCAGTCACTGATATCTCGTGCGTATTACCAAAATCAATGGACCTCTTTAGTGACCATAATCTCCTTTTTTTCGAATTCAAAGTATTCGCCAAGTTATCTTCCTCTGACACGCGAACTGTCCTGGATTACCGTTCAGCAGATTGGGAGGGTTTGCACAGAACTCTTTCGTCGATAAATCTCTCTCCATCGACAGTTTCAGATAAATTGGATATCGACAAACCTGGAAAAGCTGGTACGATAGTTTTATGAACGCTGTGTATCATCATATTCCGACCAAATCCTTAAGAAACGCAAATCTCCTCTTTGGTTTGACAGTGAAATCCACCACCTGTTGAATAAAAAAGAAACGGCTAGAAGAAAAGCTAAACTGAAGAGCACGAGTCACAGTCTGTGGGAAAATTTCCGACACCTTCGACGTTCGTGTAAGTCACTTACAATAACTCGAAAGCGAAAAGAATACTTCCAGTCTTTGCCTGGTGTTATGAAATCAAATAAGAGACGGTACGGTTTTGGTCGTTATTCAAATCGGTTTCAAGTTCATCAAGCGTTTCTAGTAAAATTACCTGGAAGCGCGATGATGGGACTGTTACAGCATCAAATCCGGAAGAAACTGCAAATCTCTTAAACAACTATTTTTATTCTATGTTTAATCAACCTCTTTCTCAAGAAGATTACGATGCTCATCCAGTCCCGAACACAACATCCTGCAATCCATTAAGTGATATCACAATTTCACCTGATGACGTTAGACGTATTCTTCTTTCTCAAGATGACAACAAAGCTACAGGTCCAGACAGAATTCCAGCTACATTGCTCAAGTATTGTGCTCCCTATATATCTTCATCGCTTAGTGATCTCTTCAACAAAAGTTTGAGTTCTGGCAAAATCCCAGTAGAATGGAAGATCTCCAACATAATACATATTCCTAAAGGTGGTGTAAAGAACGATGTTTCGAACTTCCGACCAATATCTTTACTTCCCATAGTTTCTAAAGTCCTAGAACGTTGCATCTATGATCAAATTGTCAACCATGTGTCAAGTCAGCTGCATAACCTTCAATTTGGGTTTCTCAGGGGAAGGTCTACCACGTCACAGCTGCTACAAGTTCTTCATGAAATTGGGAAATTGCTTGACCAAAGAATGCAAACTGATATTCTTTATCTTGATTTCTCAAAAGCTTTTGACAAAATTGATCATAAGCTTCTACTCAAAAAACTAAGTAACTTTGGAATTTGTGGAAACCTGCTTAATTGGTTTCAAAACTACCTTACAAACCGCCATCAGAAACTCACCGTCCTAAGCAAGACATCGTGTCCAATCCCCGTACTATCAGGTGTTCCTCAAGGTTCAATACTTGGACCTCTTTTGTTTCTTATGTACGTGAATGACTTACCTCAACAGACCACGACATCGTCCGTAGACCTGTTTGCTGATGACACCAAGTGCTATCGTGCAATAAGTAAACCCCAGGACTTTAGGGATGTCCAGTGCGATTTTGATAGAATCAACAAGTGGTGTCAAGTATGAGATATGACCCTAAATCAGTCTAAATGTGGTGTTCTCACAGTGACAAGAAATGTAAATTCTGTTCAGTCATCCTATCACTTGATCAATGATGATCATTCTAGCACCTCACTGATCAAGAAACTAGCTGTACAAAGAGATCTTGGCGTTTTAATTACTGGAGATTTCAAATGGAGCAAACAAGTTAATGCTGTATGTACAAAGGCCAACAGAATGCTGGGATTCATAAGAAGGACTTCAGCCGACATACGCGATCCACGTATAAGAACCGCACTGTATAAAACATTAGTTCGAAGTCACTTCGTGTATAGCTCACAAGTTTGGTCACCACAATCTGTAGCACTTATCCTTGATCTCGAGAAAGTACAACGGCGTGCAACAAGGTTTATATTATCCTTACCATTTCAGTCTGAAACCAGTTATAAAGATCGGCTGCTATTAACAGGGTTACTTCCTTTGTGCTACTGGCACGAGTACCTGGATTTGGTATATTTCTTCAAAGCTCTAAAGTCAAATGATCCAAACATTGTTGTGAAGTCTAGTGGTCGTGTCACGAGACACAATTCAACTAAAAATATTTTAACTAATGTCCCTAGAGTAAACACTTTAACTTTTCAAAATAGCTATTTTAATAGAGCTCCTAGAACATATAATTGCTTGCCATCTTACATCCGTGACGCTGACGTCACAATTGGGCAATTCAAATCATACTTGTTGAAATATTATCACGAAATGACTGAACTTATATATGACATTAATGTATCACAATCGTTTAAAACTGTCTGTGTTAAATGTCACTCGTGTCGTCCTTTGTCGAGCCTTGTAGATAAAATGTGTTGTAATTGATGTAAATGTTTAGTTTAATTAAGGGACGCTGTGAATGGGGCAATAAGCCCTGTAGGGATCACTAGTCATTTATGACAAAGCTAGTAAGTAAATAAATAAATAAATAAATAAAATGGCCAGATTGCGTCAGAGCTTAGAAGAAACTGCGCTTGAAGCGATTCGAGGGTTGGGGGTTTCTTTGCCTGAATAAGAGGAGGCTAAGGAAATTCTGAAGACAAAGTTTGGGGGGCGAAGGCGACAATTGCAGACTTATATGGATCAGCTAGAGGCAATGCCTTCCCTGAAGGCTAGTGAAGTGCAGGGCTTTGAGAGATTCTCAGATCTTGTCCGGATAACCGTTGTTAAGTTGCAGGCAGAGGGTCGGGATGGAGAGTTGGGGGAAGGTACGTTACATGGCTTGTTGATCAAAACGCTTGCAGAAAGACAGGTTGAAAGCTATAGTCGTTGGCTTAGGGAACATAAAAAGGAGAGGTCAGTGTTAAGCTTAAAGGATTGGTTGAAGGAAGAGGTTAGGGTGAGAGTGGAAGCTATGGAAATGGATCATAGTGTTGAAGGTATTGATTTGTCGTTGAAAAGGAATGAGGCTGGTGGGGAAAAGTCTAGATATGGTGACAGAGGTCGGTCCCGTACACTATTTGCTGGTCGTGGTGGAGTTGGTGGTAAGGATGTGAAGCCACTTTGTGCATTGTGTGAGGGGAACCATGGTATATGGTCTTGCCAGAGGTTTCAGGATATGAAGGTTCAAGATAGATAGGACGTAGCTAAAGTTAAGCACTTGTGCTTTCGCTGTCTTGGGAGTGACTACCAGGGGAAGGCATGCCTTAGGTCCAAAGCCTGTAAGACTGATGGTGGTACAAAGAATCACCATGCCCTGCTGCATGATTCTGCGCCACCAGTTAAACGCCCAGAGGACAAGAATCCGGTTGTTCCATGGGAGGGGGGAACTGATTCCCGCACACATACCACAACACATGATACCCCAGCCACTGAAGCACTCTCACTACGAACAATTCCGGTATGGTTGAAAGCGAACAATCGAAAGGTGAAAGTTAATGCGCTACTCGACGATGCGTCAAACGAGACGTTCCTTAACGCTGAGGTTGGCAGGAGTGTAGAACATTCAAGAACCATTGCAAACAGTCAAAGTACACGTCCTGAATGACGAGATTGATACATTTGCCAGTAAATGTTACCATTGAGAGTGTCGACGGACAGTTTTGTAAGAAAATTAGTGTGAAGACCTGCCCTCGAAAGGTTACGGGAAATTACAATGTGGAAGACTGGAGTGTTAGCAAGGAAGGATGGGAACATTTAACACAATGTGATTTTACAAAGCCGGCCAAAGATGGGATGGTGGATTTGCTTATTAGCGGGCTTAAGCAAGCAACGTTTTTGACAACACGAACGTTGACCGGAAGCAAATTTGACGTTATCAACCAATCAACATTCTTAACCCCGTCTTTTGACGTTACTCACGCCGTCCGTGTTGTCAAAAACGTCGCTTGCTTAAGCTCACTATTGGAACAGACAACGCGGATTTACACTACTCCAGAACTGACATGCGTGGGAAACCTGGAGCCCCCATTGCTCGGTTGGGTCCACTCTGGTGGACTTGTATCGGAACACCACATCGTGAGGATGCTTCACAGTCAAGGACACATGTCATACGAACTCTGTTGACTAGGGATTCTACACAGAAATTCGTGGAGGGAACGTGTTGTGAAGTGGATCGTAGTATCAAACTCGTCTGGGAGGTGGAAAATTATGATACTGATGGTAATGGTGCGAAAGTGTATACTGAAGAGGAGCAGTTGGTATTAAAGAAGATGGAATCATCGATAAGCCATGACGGCAGTCGGTACAAAATAGGAGTTCCGTGGAAGGAGAACCGATCTAAACTGAAAAATAATTATGAAGAAGCGTCCGCTCGTCTGTGCAATACGGAGAAAAAGTTAAGGAAAGACAAATTTCTCGGAACGGAATATCAGAAAACAATCGAAGCATACATTGAGAAAGGGTACCTGCGCCGTGTCAAGATTGAGGAAGAGCTTCCATCCGAAGTGTGCATGGTACCTTCCACATTTTCCCGTCGTAAGGATGGACAAGATCACAAGGAAAGTGCGCATTGTTTTTTACTGTTCAGTGAAGTGTAATGGAGTCGCGTTAAACGATGTCATCTACGCGGGACCTAATTAAGCTACAAAAGGAATTGATTGATGTACCTATTCGTTTTCGTCGCAAACCTGTGGCGGTGGCGTGCGATGTTAGAGAAATGTACCTTCAAGTTGAGATCGACGAGTGCGATCGTCCGATGTTCCGGCTGTTGTGGCGTGACCTGGACAGTAACCGAGAACCGGAAGTCTACGAATTCAATCGTGTAGTGTTTGGGAAAAACTCTGCGCCGATGGAATCGCAATTCGTGGCCCAAGAAAACGCTAGAAGACATCACGAAAGTACCCTGTGGCTGCTGAGACCGTGGAAAGTCCACGTATATGGACGAGTTATACCAGCAACTGAAAGATCTTTGGAATTTAGCCGCTATGCAAGGCGGAAGTGGATTTCAAATTCCCCAGCCCCAGCGGTTAACGCATCAACACCAAAGGAAGAGCGAGCAACTGAATTATCGATAAGTGACAGCCCAACTTCAGCCGTCAAAACTCTTGGGCTCTCCTGGTGTAGCAGCGACGACCTGTTAACAATATCTTCACCTGGGTGTTCATCAGAAGTGTTGCTGACTATAGCGGAACGTATTGAAGACAATTGCAACAATTTTTGATCCGCTTGGTCTGATCAGTCCATTTATGACGTCATCGTAGACGAAGTTGCCGATAAGATCGAGATGTGGTTTCGACAGCTGTTAGACCTGGAGAACGTGCGTGTACCAAGACGTTTACGCGAGGCTAAGACAGTCCTGAGTCAATCTATGATCACGTTCGTCGACGCTTCCCTTAAGCCGGGCTTATGGAGCAGTCGTCTACTTAAAGTACGAGTACGAAGATACCACCACTAGCTGTCGGATGATCGCATCCAAAACGAAGATTGCACCGTTGAAGCCAATGACGGTTCCAAGGCTAGAGTTGATGGGCGCTATACTAGGTTTGCGATTAACACAACGTCTCATTCCGATTCTTGATATACCGATGACTATGGTGACGTTTTCCTCTGACAGCACAGATGTTTTGTGGTGGATTGCCACGGACGAGATTTTCGGTCATTCATCGCAAACCGCATATCATTGGAGAAATACAAATGTCGACCGAGCCAGCGCAATGGCAACACGCGTGCGTACAGACGAAAATCCGGCGGACCTTTGCAGAAGAGGAGCAACCCCCTCAGAATTGTCAGATCATTGTTTATGGTGGAATGGACCAAAGTGGTTGCTAGATGACAAATCGGGCTGACCAAAGATGCAAATTGGAATCCGTCCTAATGAACTACCGGACCAAGAATGAAACGGTTGCGACAGCGACAGTTTGCATGGCCATTACCAACGCCCAGTCAAAGACAGGAAGGCAAACAAGAAGTCAACGGTCTGGAGGCTGGATCCTAAATGTATATTACATTCACACAGAAGTATTAGAGAATTTAATTTTCGATATTCGATAAGGCGACAGCTATCAAATCAATATAGTGACAAACAATATGCGTTGCCGTTTTACATCTTTACGCTATTTTATTATTATTAAATGATACTTGCATACACAGAACGATTACATTCAAGTTTAGGAACAAAGACTCGGGTATTCTCAGCTGTATTTTTACTCAATTTATTTGCTTGTTACTTGTTCATGCAGATCTTACAAATAAACCGGAAGTTCAAAGGTAAATGTTGACAATCTCTAGCTTCCTATTGGTTTGCTACCTTCGCTACTTTTTGTATTTTCGCTGTAAATCTTCAGTTCAACAACTCTGAAGGACAGACTTTATTAGATCCACAATGTATGAAGTATATGTTATTTAACAATTATTCGCCGAAGGCGAGGCGATTATCGGTGAATAAAAACCGAGACGAAGTCGAGGTTTTTATTCACGATAATCGCCGAGCCTGAGGTAGCCTGCATGGCAGGCGGTCCCTAAAATCGGGCAAGCCTGGGAAAGACCCGAGGTGAATAATTGTTTTAGTATAATTTCATAGGTGATTATTTGGAAAACTAAATAAAAAATACACATTTCCACTAAATATGCAGAATAACGTTCAGTGTTGCCCAGAAGATTATAGTGTAAAACATGAGATTACATGTACATACTTTAGTCAGGTGCATCACTCGGCCAACGCCATTAGTAGCTCCGTTTTGAGTGCGGTTCTCAAATTTGCGGTTCTCAAATTTGAGGTTCTTAAGTTCGAGCTCAACTTCATCCTCGAATTCATGCAATCTGTTTTGAAGAATCAAAACGTCTGACTTAATCTCTGATGTCTTGTTGTCAAGGGCTCGTTCCCATTCTCGACGATTATCTTTTAGGTTCTCCTCCAGATGAGTTATATTCTGATTCACCTGTGTTGCAAGATTTTTCACTTCTTTCTCCAAATTCAAATAATCTTCAGCGGTATCATTAAGATGAGACAATGCTTCCAATTTCTTCTGAATGACTCTCTGAGTTTCCTTGACATTATTCAACTCGTTCAAAGCTCGTTGAACTGTAGCACTGGTCGTGTAATCTATCGTCTTGTTCAGCACTCTGGTTTCGCTGAGAAGTTCCATGTAGTCGTGTTTAAGTTGCGTTGCTTCGATTTTAGCTTTGTCGGTTAAATTAGCCATTTTTTTCTCGATTGCTTCAAGACGTTCTTTCGCAGACTCTACGTCGTTAACGTTACTAAGTACATACACCAATGCTACGCAACTCATAGCTACCGCTGTGACAAATGCCAAGACACATACAGTACACACGACTTTAGGATGATTGTCTATTAGTGATGGGGGACGTACGTAATTGACCATACTACAGTCTACAGTAGCTCCCAAATGGCAAACATACACTAGTGAACAAATAGATCAAAACGACAAAACCGAAAGAGAAAATCGATTATTAAGTGAAATACGATCGGAAGTTATACTGTAAACAACAAGCCAACCTCGTCCCCAGGGCCTTTGGGACGAGGTTGAACAAGCGTAAATAATGTTAGCCAATCAGCGCGTTTGTTTACATTTTGCGTCCTCGACCAATCAGAATGCCTGAAATTCGAACATTAAACTAAAGCCCGCGCTTTACGGTTAAATATTAAAGCCAAAGGGGGCAATTCGGCGGCGGCGACGCAAATTTTTTTTTCCGTAGACAGTCGGACTCCTCAGTGATAGTCGGACGCATCATTGATCCGCGTCCAGGCCTCCGCGCGTTATTGGTGGATCCATTCGTAACCCACTGGTGCATTATATATCCATCACTCCACGTTGTTCTTCTTCGACCACGTTCGACCACGTGTAGAAAGGTGAACGATTTGCTTCGCGATGCCATTAGCAAATCTACAAACTTTGTTTTTCTGGTCCCGAAAATACTTAAGAACTGTTATTGCGAGTTAAAACTATATATCCCAATTGAAGAGAATCAAGAAAAGATAACTAGCGTGCAAGAAAATACTGGAAGATTCAAAGCGACCATCAAGACCACTTTCCACAAATAGAAGTATTGCAGAATACCCGTCCACTAGTAATATCATATCATGTAGCCCGGCCACTATATTCACTGGATACGTATATACCAGATCTTATTGCCTCGTTCTAATATACACAAACTAATTACTAAGACAATATTACGAATTGACACTATAAATGAAATATCATGCAAGACTTTTATAAATGTTTAATATTATATGCTTTAAAATAGTATGCTTTATAATATAAAATTTTTTCTTCCAGCGACGCTAATTAATCATAATCTGGCAAACACCAATGTCCGGTTGTGAGAAACATATTTACATATGAATTTTTCTGTGTTGGTGTTGTGTACTCAGGTGAATAATATGTTTGCGATGTTACTCTGAGTGCATATCCACACCAGGCGAGCTTGAAAAATATGCCCGGCCACGATGGGATTCGAACCTACGACCTTTGGAATACTAGCCCAATGCTCTTCCAACTGAGCTACGCGGTCAGGACGGTTCGAGTAAGTGATATTTCGGAACAGTATCTAGTTCCTTCAATACCAATGTGTTCTAGTAATATGAATTTTTCTGTGTTGGTGTTGTGTACTCAGGTGAATAATATGTTTGCGATGTTACTCTGAGTGCATATCCACACCAGGCGAGCTTGAAAAATATGCCCGGCCACGGTGGGATTCGAACCTACGACCTTTGAATACTAGCCCATAGAATACGACCTTTGGAATACTAGCTCGTAGGTTCGAATCCCACCGTGGCCGGGCATATTTTTCAAGCTCGCCTGGTGTGGATATGCACTCAGAGTAACATCGCAAACATATATTTACATATAAATACGACCTTTGGAATACTAACTCGTAACATCGCAAACATATATTTACATATAGTAGCTAACTAACTCGTAACATCGCAAACATATATTTACATATAGAAGAGTAACATCGCAAACATATATTTACATATAAATACGACCTTTGGAATACTAGCTCGTAGGTTCGAATCCCACCGTGGCCGGGCATATTTTTCAAGCTCGCCTGGTGTGGATATGCACTCAGAGTAACATCGCAAACATATATTTACATATAAATACGACCTTTGGAATACTAACTCGTAACATCGCAAACATATATTTACATATAGTAGCTAACTAACTCGTAACATCGCAAACATATATTTACATATAGAAGAGTAACATCGCAAACATATATTTACATATAAATACGACCTTTGGAATACTAGCTCGTAGGTTCGAATCCCACCGTGGCCGGGCATATTTTTCAAGCTCGCCTGGTGTGGATATGCACTCAGAGTAACATCGCAAACATATATTTACATATAAATACGACCTTTGGAATACTAACTCGTAACATCGCAAACATATATTTACATATAGTAGCTAACTAACTCGTAACATCGCAAACATATATTTACATATAGAAGAGTAACATCGCAAACATATATTTACATATAAATACGACCTTTGGAATACTAGCTCGTAGGTTCGAATCCCACCGTGGCCGGGCATATTTTTCAAGCTCGCCTGGTGTGGATATGCACTCAGAGTAACATCGCAAACATATATTTACATATTACACCACATTTAAACTCTCAAAAGCACGAGAATTTAATCTATTAATGCTAACTAACTGTCGCCTTGACTGCGTATCCACGCGGTATCCACTAAAGTATAGAGCTACCTATAGCACGTGAATTTGATCTAATGCTAATCTAACTGTATGCATCGTTCTCAAAATAACTACTTGACTGCATATCTGCGTATCCACTAGAATTAGAGCTACATTTAACACTATGACAATTTAATCTATTAATGCTAAGTTACCGTATGCCTCGTAGCCACCTTTACCACCATGAGATTTTAATCTATCAATCTATTTATTATTAAATTAATCAATTGAGAATTGAAATATAGATGTATTAATACATCGTATCCATGATGTTTGAA